CAGACGAGATTAACTGAAGATCTACTTGCCTATGTCTCCCATACATGTGAAACCTCTAGCTGTGGCGTTAGACAAATCTAAAGCATTCGACCGTGTTTGGCACCAAGGACTCCTTCACAAACTACCATCATACAGCCCAGTCGCTCCACGTGGTGGTGGACGATTTATTATCCGATACCATGGCTGGCGTTCCACAAGGATCAATTTTGGCACCAATTCTATTGAGTAATAACTTGCACTATCGACAGCTTCGCAGATGATGATACTATCCATACTGCCTTCTCATCTAGGATTCCAATCTCTTTCCAGCGAATCCTGTTCAATGCTGTCAATGACAATCTTGCTAACATCACAGCCTGGGAAACCAACAACCTAGTTGAATTCAGCGCCACCGAATCTCAAGCCTGTATTTCTTCTAGAAAGGCGAAACTCAGTATAGGTACCTGATATAACAATGTCTGGCACAACCATTTCCAAGAAGTCCAGCATATTTGTGCTCGGTATTTCCATCAGCTATGGGATAATAATGTCAAATCCATCGCTGAAGATTATGATGTACAATGCACAGATATGGCCTGTTTCATAATACTGCTCTCACATATGGGGTTCAGCACCCAAACTCATTAACTCTGACATCATTGGAACACCAGAAAGGGCGGCGACCTTTCACTTTTCTATGGAGACTTCCACGGGAAATGTTCTTCAGGAATCTCTGCTATCATTACACCACTATTGCAATACCAGTCAGAGGAACTCGACAATCCCTGTCAGCACATCCTATCGAGTTCAATCTCGAAACGTGTCGAAGAGCACTTTATCAAAACTCATCCATGGAATGGCAAAGTTCTGGAATGGATTGCCTGAGGAAGTAGTTCCAAGAACTCATAATCTCCAAAAGTTATAAGCAAAACAATACCTTGCTCCTACCTAGGCACGCAGGAACATTATAGGGATTCCGTTTCAATCGATATAAAAAAACGATGGTTGTGAGGCTTCTTTTCACGTACCTTGCTCATTTGCTATAACTCGCATGCTAGAAACCATGGGAATCTGCTGGTTATTTCCATTCAAGATGTGGAATAAATCTATGGGGTCGTGGAATATTAATAATATTTCTTTGATCAGTTCACAGAGGAGATCGCATTTTGTGCTGTGATGGCATCAATCATGGAATTAGAAATATTAATTTCAGTTCCATTCCATTTGTCTCATCTCTAAGAAATAAATCGACTAGCTTGGCGATGGTTGTGAAGTCATTCGTATCAACCAAAACGACCTACACCACACACTGATTCACCACTAAGCAAACCGATTTTTCACACCTCGACAAGTGTTTCGCTAACTATGTTATCATCTTCAGGAGAAGATTAAAAAGAAATGCTCTATCCTAGTGGGCTACTTATATACTAGGTATATATGTCCACTCAACCATGAATAGACAATAACTGCCAAGTTAATGTTATCCATGGTTATCATGGTTCATCCTTATTCATCACTCTATTACTATTCTTGAATACCTCTAAGCTTTCATATGCATCTAATTTTCTAACATCATTAACTTGCTGAACTAATTTGAGGTTACATTAATATGTGTGTTATGATTATGATTGAAAGTATGTTCGGCTACACACGATTTATCTAACCTGCCATATTTCAAATGTGCTAAGTGTTCTTTGAACCTTCCTTAGACTCTTCAAGTGTGTTGACCCAGACTGATGAACGCTTTCAAAACCTAAGTCTTTGAAAACCTTATCCAGTCCTCTTGTGTACTTGGGATGAAATGGATTGAGGTTTTTCTCGGATTGTTTTTATCCGCTTGAAAAGTCGTAGAATTCCTGAGAGATAACTTACATTTATGTCTATGCTTATTAACTTATCAAACTATTTTGATTTCATAACTATTGGCGCCTATAAACAACACTCCTTTCAACATCGAATCTTTGTTCGCTCAGAGGAAATTGAACTAGTCTATGTACTAGGAAATTTAAACTTACCATTTTGTGATGAAAACAGTGATTTGAGTTTTTAGTTATGTATCTAAGTGTGTTAGTTTCTTTTCTGAAAACATCCAACCATTATGAGAATATGGCGAAAATAATTTAGAACATGATGTTCAGTCAATTTCTAATCATTCCATCAATATCAATACACAATAATCTCGTCGTCATCATCGGTTATATCAACAATTCCGTTTATCAAAGCTTTCGACGAACGGTCGATAATTTCTCCTAAATCTTTGAAGCCACCGGCTATTTGTCATACGCAAAAATGGATTTTAAGCCATGTGCAATATCTCAAGCGAAGCATCTTCATTCCACGAAAGCCCAGTAAGTGGTTTATAAATTCGTGAGGTGGCCATATGTCTTCGAACAAAAGAACACACGGTTGCTGTTAGCTCGGATCGGCCGGTTGCCATTTATCAAAAAAATTCTAGTGATAGTTCCAAGGGACGCCACACGAACGAAAATGATAAATATCAAAACACGCGCTGATAAAATGTGGATAGTTCGGAGATATTTCTCATTTTGTGCACATGGTTCCTCGTCAGTCGTCACGATTTTTTGCTGCTGAACATAGAAGAGCGTTTTTATTGCTAACGAGTTCGGTCGAGGGAATTCAGTGTTCGAAATTGAGGAGAATAACGACGGTTTCGTTGACATACTGACATATAGGTAGTTTATAGTCAGAGAAAACTAGACTAGATAAATATCATGAATATATAGGAGGGCTATATTTTGTCGATATATTACTTGCGAAGGCGTGCTTTATGGTTTATTTATCTTAGGAATTTCGTCAAAGAATATCTATTATGCCAAAAAGATACTATTTGTTTTTTGATTGGATGGCATGTGACGTGTTTGAATTGATGGAGACCAAGAAATGTGTAATGGAAATAGACGATAGACGATTTCCAATCATTTACTTTCTCTTCCTACCTCCATTCTTATTACCAGTGTTGGGTGTATGAACCTTATTGTTCCTTATTCCTTTCAGAACTAAAGATCAAGAATCTTCTCATTGACCTTATACTCTATACTATAGTACCCAGGAGAAGTTTAATCTGTATTGACTACAAGACAGTGACAATAAGTTAACTTGAGTTGACTTGCATTGAGTTATTGCCGCTTGGCTGTTGAAGTAGATGTGCGTTCCTACCAAACTAATTATTTCTTTCACGCAATATTGTATGACGACAATTTCTGCTCACAAAAGCAATCAATTATCATCTTAATCGTCTATTCCTGTATTGATAAGTCCCTCTTTCATTTCTCTCGTGGCAGTTATATCGGAGCTTCATTTAGGAAGTATGCAAAATCAAGAAAGCTTTGTCTAATGGCCGCCAGCCCATATACGATGATCTCAATGAATATTTGAGTGAACATTTTTGTCAATTTAATCCTTGAATTCCTTTCTAATGTTCAACCAGATTGTTAATACACGGAAAAAAGGATTGGTTGCATCAACCAATTATTTATGCTTGAATTATTTTTGTTGGACTGAGCAATTTTTAATTGAAACAACCAGATACATGATTATTTCATGGAAGCAGCTTGTTCAAATCAAGAATGTAGTCTAATTGAATCAACAGTATAATATCAATTCCATCAACAAAATATATAGATTTCTCAAGAACAAATTATGTCGATCCAAAATAATGTTGTTGTTGATTTGATGAAATAATGATCATTTTGATGAGAATATATATTTGAAACAACATACAAGTTTTCTTATTTCGATGTAGCAATGAACTCGTTTCGGACGGATCATTTGCTTGAATAGAGCAACGAAATAATATGTAATATCAATGAAATATTTTGTTCAGTCTACATTAAGTTACATTTTTGCCTCTAGATGTCGATCATTTCGCCTCGTCTATGCATGCCTCGAATTCTTTATATACGTGAGGCCGGATAGGATGATTAGCAATTCAAAATAGTTTTGCATCAGCTGAAGGGAAGTAAAGACTGGAGATCTATGCTGGAAGTCGACTAATTTCCTAGTTTAGTATATTATTTCGATCTGAAATTTCAGAAAACTCCCGAATTGATACTGAACAAAACAATTTGTCGAATGAAAATATAATTTCTCGTGAATCATCGAAATATTTCATCGAATCAACAAAATATTTCATTGAATTAACCAAATATTTCATTGAATCAACCAAATATTTCATTGAATCAACCAAATAATTCATTGAATCGACCAAATATTTCTTTGAATCAAACAAATATTTCATTGAATCAACTCAATATATGATGGAATCAATATCTTGTTATTTTGAATCGAACAAAATGATTGTTTGAGCCAATTCAATATCTCTTCATGAACAATTCATGAATGTGCTTGACTGAATAAGACCCAGAGTTCATTCAAGACATATTCACTCCATTCAAACTTTAAATTCGCTCTGAAACAAGATATATAGATTTACTCATTCCAAGATTACATTTTGTCGTGCATATATAATACTTTTGTTTGCTTCATTCAATTAAATTTTGCTTGATTCAACAAATTCATTTTTTTTCGTGTAGCTATTTCTGGTTGTTCAGCCGCTATAAAATAGTTTTGTACAATTAGGACTGCTTTTTTCCGGCTGACAACCTCCATTTCAATGTGTTCAACCTAATCACTGCTGCACATGGTGAATTTCCTCTCATCAGTAGCTTTTGTGTATTTTTCATTGTTGTTCCTTACAGGTGCTTTATATTATGTGTCTGATGATGGCCGAGTTCCGAAACTAGTTACACGTCTTATGTAATAAATTTGTTGTGGTATACCGACTTTGGGTTTTCTGTATTTTCCCTTTGAAAAATTCTGGATCACTTTGAGAACATGGATGGTTTCCACGACTAGTACAATATCCGTTTAGAGATCAGACCTTATGAACGATGGAATATCGAAATCTCCTGGGGCTCCCGACATCCTAGCTCCTCATTTATTCATGCCACCGAAATACCGTTGTACCCTAACCTCGTTTCACCAATATCTTATTGTTTCAGTAACGTTCGTCGTTCCGGAGGAGGGAGTTCGAGACACGAGGGAGGGTCAGGACGTGACTTTGGAGTGTCGTTTTCCTCCCCAGACATCAAGGGACACTTTAACCTATTATTGGGCCAAGAAGAACAAGCAGACGCACGACAACGTGGCCATAGGCAATGTGCCGCTGGATACGAATTACAAGTGGGTATTTTTCGGAATTTGTCATACGTGAAGGTATGTCTCCACCAAAGCCACACAGACCAACATAGTTCAACTTTGTTGGAGATACAAAATGTCTAGAACAACTTTCACCAACATAGTCTCCACACTCAAAGAAATTGATGGGTTGAATCAACCAAAAAGAGCATATGAAAATGAGTCGAATCCAACCTAAAAAACATACCGACATCATATTATTGACAAAAAAATTGTTTCGTCTCTACCAAAACAAAACTAATAATTAAGTGTTGAATGGTGGCCAACACAGGAACACCCTGTAAATTTCTTTTCTCATTAAGCCCGAGTATTTTATATTTCATAGTACTTGTTTTTTTTGGTTGCTTCAACAAAGTCCAATCCTGAGAACAGAGTTGCAGTATTAATTGGCTCAAAAAAAATCAGAAAAGAAACGACGTTAGGATTGAAAATTCCCTGCTGAGTACAATAATTATAATCAAGTGTTTTTCTTGAGTTTCTCTCATTATCATGATTGGATCCGGAGTTGGATAAACTTGTGTTCGACAGCTTTGTTAACGGTAGTAATATGCAATTACTCTCGAAGTAGTATTTGATGGAAATATAATTATCAGTCACGAATGTTGCCATGCTGTTTCTGGAATATGCTGTCACCCAGAGTGGGATATGAATAGTGGTAGCTGGAAGTTTGGAGAAAGAATTTGGAAGTTACATTGTGTTCATGGGTGCTATTTGAAATTGATGAACTTCCTGGAAATACTATGGAAACTAGTATGAAATGCAGTCTACACAGTGAAAAATTTTCGGGTGTTATCTCAATCGAGTGGATTTCAGAAATAACTCCCATTGAATCAACACTTTTGATTAGCAATATTATATCAATATTATTTGAAATTTGAAAATACCATGTTCAGTGGTGTCAATTTACACCTTCATAGTGGAAAATCACACGGATGTGGGTTCTGAAATAGCCATTCAAGAGAAACCCCAGAAAGATTAAAAGAAATTACTTTCGATAGTGGTATTATTCAAGTTAACACAAAAATACACTTATTATATGAAATTAACACCTAGTTACACCCACAACAATCACGAATAGATCAAAACCGTGTACGAATCATGAGATTTGGGGCTAATTTGGGGCTAATTCACTCATCGTCTTGCATTCTTCCTTTCAAATAAATAATGTTGCTGATGTCGAAATCACCCCTTGAAAAACCTAAACTCATTGAAAAATGAATGAAAATAATTGTGCAGGCATATTATCATCCACGAATTCTGGTGTCCAGATTGATAGGTGACAATAAGAAAATAATGCATTAAATATATGAAGATTTTGAAATTGCGAAGCTATAATATAGAGTAATTATATCGAATCAGATCAAAACATGAAATTGAATATCAAAGTGAAAATTGTGTGCAGAGAAAAGTATTGAGTAAATATCTTGATAGATGGCGACATTAGCGCTTCTTCGACGCTCGCCTCTTGACAGCCTTCAAATATGCTCAGAAATGTTTTGTAAAATCTCAACTGTCACTATAATGGATCATTTCATACACTGAATACTAATGTTAGCATATCAGAGTGATTCAACACTCAGATGCAGACAAGAAATCACCGCTTCTCAGCGTGATAACACTCAATATATACGTGTGTTTTCACAAAAAAAAAATCAGAAAAATATTCGCATATCATGATATTATCAGTAAAATCAGAAACGCAACAGATACAGTGTCATGTACCCCACCATAGTACACCACTTTGGTGTGGAATAACACGAACCGATCAATTTAGCACTAGTGTTAATTCTTACAAAAATAATCAGGACCTCAGGGGATACCTATACCTGGTGTGAACTGGTGTTATTTTTTTCCACTGTGTAGTATCCAATAGATTGTTATTATCTAATCTATTCAGAAAGTTGTAGAGAAATGATATTTGTGTTCTCTATTCATGTAGTAGTTCAACTCCATTCAAATGAAATCTAATCAAATATTTTCTATTGTAAAATGAAACGATTTCTATCAACAAGTCATCAGATGAGCATACATATTAAAATTGGATTACATTACAGAAAAAAAAAACAATGATAGTTACCAAGATTATATCCTGAGGCTTCACATTCACACAAGCATTCAAAAACACTTAACAGTTGTCATTTCTGTGTCCGAACTCTTCTCTATAACTGATACCATCCAGTGACTCTAGTGTGTACAGCCGGTGTTTTCAACTGCCTTGTAGCCTTGTTACGTGTAATAATATACCTATTAAGTCACTGCTTGTTAATCATTTCAACGACGTTTTGAGTATTTTCTCTTGTGCCGGGTAGCGTCTTTGAAATAATAAATCAGTATTTTTCTGCATATGTTGGCAAAGCCAAAAAAGCGGTCGCAACATGTCTCCAAAGACAAGAATGGAAAGAGCTGAAAGGAAGCTGCGATGCGAGTAGGTATTTGTCATTGTCACAAAGGAATGCCAATGCCTCAGCTCTCGTCAGCACGCATTGTACCGGATGTTTTGATGAGCATGTATAGACCAGTGGCGGCTCCTCAGAGGAGGCAACGGAGGCTGAGCCTCCTCAGAGATTTTCCTCAAACTTATATTATTTATACTTTTTCATTGGAAGGACACCAAAATTCATGGATTTTTATTTCATTTCCTGTTTTCAGTCAAATATTTTTGAATTGGCAACAGTGTTTGCTCACGCATCACACTTTGAAGTCTGCAAATCACGCGTAAAATATTCAACTTGGCAACATCTATAGGAGGCTAGACTCCTTCACATTGTGCAACCGACGCACGCAATGCAAATACCCGAATACGTCCGAATAGCACCCGTTTGTCGTGTCACTTCGCAAATTGCGGACAAACGCGAGTGCATATTGTTTATGTTTATGTTAGGTTAATGGTTAGGGGCTCTATAAATTTCTGAAAAATGAGTGTTTTGAACGATTGCGATTTAGTGGAATACTTTTTGGTGAACCCATTCAGTGCTTTGTCTTATGATGAAGATGAATTGATTGTAGAAAACAAACGTTCGACACCGGAATTAAAAAATCTGATTGTAACAGGTAAAAAACAAAATAGTTCGTTCAATTCTGATAATTATAAAAAATATATCTGGTTGACGGGATCTGAGGTAAGGAATAAGCTTTTTTGTTGGAACTGCGTATTATTTTCAACCGATAAGTCATAATGTTGGGGGAGGATATAATGATTTGAAAAATTTGCCACGCGGATTGGAGAGACACTGCAAATCACAGGAACACATCTCTTCAAGTATTAAGTTCAGGTTAACTGGTAAACAGAATGTCATTAAAGCTATTGATTTGGGCGAGTAGAGAGTTGTTTTTCACAATAAATCTCATATCATTCAGCCTCCTCTTTCATGAAAGTCACGAGCCGCCACTGGTATAGACATGAGATGCTTTGCTAAATTTTCAATACAAAGTTCCGAAGATAGTTAAAAATGAGCTATCATTAGGAATACGAAATTGTTACCACAATCGATTAAATACTCGATAATATACAAGGTGTTTTGTTATAGTATTGACATACTACTTCGCCAAATTGAATCACCTATTTTTACTTTCTGTTTTGATTTATATTACTTGCCCCAAATAATTAATGTAGCATCATCACTGTCCTCAGGTGTTTCCTCAATGGAGTGGGAAAGATTATATTATTTATACTAACATGATTTTAGATAAGAAATGTACCTATACCTATGCTATGCATATTCACAAGGATAAATCCTAGCACCAAAACTATTTCTACACCATATCAACGATTTGTTGGAAGTAACTTCATGTCCAGTAAACAGCTTCGCGGATGATAGTACCCTCCATACCGCCTTCTCTTCCAGGGCTCCAATACCAGCCAGGCAAATCAGAAACAAACGAGGAAGAAATGTTGACAACATAAATATGGACTTGGCAACAATTCTCGAATGGGCATCCAATAACTTGGTAGAATTCAATGCAAATAAAACACAATCATGCCTTTCATATCTAGAAAAGCCGATCTCACTGTGCCCAACATAAGCTTGTCAGGAGTAACAATACCTTTGAAGGCATTCATTTCGATGCTTGGTATTACTATCAGCAGTAACCTTTCTTGGGAAAATCACGTGAGATCAATTGCTTAAAGTGCATCCCAAATATTTCCATGGACGATGCTCTTCTGAAATATCAACAATTTATTGTTCCTTCCTTGGCAGTCCCCGCGAGATCAACCCGTCTAGTTGAGGCTTCGCACTCCTTCGTAGTCACTTAGGAGACCTGCAGAACATCTCTTTCCAAAGACTCATTCATCCAACGAACAGCGAGTCTCTGGAACACATTGCCTAGGGAGGTGTTCCACGAGGCATATAACCTCCAGAAATTCAAGAAGAACACCAATTCCTACCTCATTTCCCTTGGTTCTCACATTACAACATTACAGGATATATCCCTTTTCGTGAGAACCAAAACATATAAAAAACGGGTACTACCTTACTACTGGATGAATAAAGTCTATTATTATCATTATATTTAAACAAAGTAGGTTGACGAGTATTCTGAATAAGAAAGGAGTATACCAACAATAGTAATTTGTTTAACGAGCACGGAATGATAGTGATTTCCCAGGAGAATGAAGTTTGAAGTTTGCTATTGTCATCGGTCCTTGATGATAATGCAAAGTTTCGATTCAATTCGACGGTTTGAAGTTTGTGAACTCGCTCGTCTCTCTGAATGTTATTATTTTTACGAGTACTTAGTGCAAGACACTGTCGTATCCTCAGATGAACCCAAGGAGCATTGTGAGAAGTTATTCGTAGGAACAAAAACGTGCATTCGAAATTTTGGTGACGGAACATTTGAAATTCTTCATTCGATCACCAAATCGAGGAAAAATAAATTCCGCATCTTGAAGATTCTGAAACATTGTGAAATTTTCTTCATCAATCAACAAAGACAAAATGAAACGTCAACACCCTATAGTGCGAAAGTTGAGAGAGAGAACC